ACCTAGAGTTGCTGGGCCTACACGTACTTGTTGTCTCTCCCACTATTTCACTTGCAGCCAATTTCAATTAGTCAAGCACTCAAAGCCTATGTAGTCTCCCCTATTTGGTCTGTTAACTAGACACCCAGGGAGAGCAAAGTGTTTGAGCCATGGTTTATTACTCATTCACGGTCTGCTCCACAAAAAGGATGGCTCCGTGGGGACTAGGACTTGGTCTGCCTTCTTCACTGCTGTCTCCCTCTCACGTAGGACAAAGCCTGGCACATAATAGGAGCTCAGTAAGTAATTTTTGCATAAATGAATAAAGTAAGCCACTAAACAAGTAAAATAACAGGAAGTCCCAATAATTAGGAGTAAGAAAGAGATCAGTAGTTTGAGATAGAAAAGCAGAGGGAGGCTTCCTGTAGGAATACGGTCAGGGAGGTAATGTTTAAGCTGAGGTTCAAGGGAGAGAAAGAGTTAGCAATTCTAAGAGCAGGGAGAAAAACATTCCAAGCAGAGGGAACAACATGTGTGAAGGCCTCAAGGTGGGAAAGAGTTTGGCTTATTCCATGAACTAAAAGGAGATTGGTCTGACTTCAGGGAGAGTGACATGAGCAGAACTGGGAGAGGTCATCAGGGGCTGGATCCTGACGGGGCTGACCGGCTAGGAGCTAGGATTTAATTCCAAGATTGATCCCTACTCTTCATCTAGGCAGACATAATTCAATTGAGAATCCCAGCTTATGTGTAGAGAATGGATTGGAGGAAGGCGAGAGTGAGAGGACCTGTTAATAGGCAATTGCAGGGATCTACATGAGAAATGACAGAATGGACTAAGTTGGTGACTGTGGAATTGGAAAAGAACTGGGTAGATTAATTCGGAGATTGCCAATGGATTAGATATAGGAAGCAAGGGAGAGAGGAATCAAGGATGCTGTATCAGCTAGCTATTGCTGTGTAACAAATCACTCTGATATTCAGTAGCTTAAAACAGCAATCACTTATTATAGCTCATGCCTCTGTGAATTGGTTATGGACTGGTTGGTCCAAGATGAGTCCCCTGTTGATCTCGGCTAGAATTGTTCATGCTTTTGTGAATCATCAGGGATGAGAGTAATGGGTGCCCTGCTTTGATCTAGGGTGGTTTGGGTGCTGAGCTGAGGCAGGTCTGTTCCAGCTGACTCTCATTTCCTCCTGGCTTGCTCTTCTCACGGTTATGGCAGAGGCACAAAAGGTAGCAAACTCACTTACACAAGAGCCTTTCAAGACTCTGTATCACATTTGCTAATATTCCATTGGCCAAAGAAAGTTCCACAAGGCCATGAAATGATGCTTTAGCATAATGGAAAACACTGCTGCTCAGCTAAAGGGCAAAAGGTGTGGATACTGGGAGGGCTTAAGAACGGGACCATTTATGCAATCTACCGCAGATGCCTGCCGTGCCTCTGGCTAGTGTTCATTATAATTTTCCCCTTGGTCCTCTCCAAAAAAATTTTCCTCTCTTCCCACCCACAGGATACCACCCTTATTTACTTATTCTTGGAGCTTCCAAGGAGGGAGACAGCAGCACTGGACAGCTGTTCATGTGGTGAGGCCTCCCTGCAGAGTATGGGAGGGTAAAGGCACCCCACTGGGTCAATGGGAAGTTTCACTCCCTTGAGTTTGGCTCTGAATCTACGGGTTGAGAATGGATGTAGAGTCTGGCTGCAATATTATGTGGGCTGATGCTGAACGTGGGACACATAAGTGCAGGTTTACAAAAGCAATTGAGAAAGGCCTTGGCTGAAACAGAGGATGTCTGCAGCTTAAATACTGGAGCGATTATATCGTTTGTGGGGCTTTGCAAGCTAATTTGTTTGCTGCCTTTCCAATTTGCCATTCAGTTTCCATGGTTTCACGGTTGGTCAGAGATGGAGTATTTAAACCGAATAGACAAAGCTTGAGGTTGAAGAGCTACAATGGCTGTGGAATTGTTTTATAGCCCAGATTGGTGGAAGGACGGCCATCCAGGGAGTCAAGAGAAAGTCTAATCCTGGCTTTGCCACCTTCATGGAGAATTCCTTCTCTGTGCCTCAGTTTCTCCATTTGTGATGTGGTGTGAACTCCTAGGTGGTTTTTTCAGCTGTGTAATAACAGTAACAATAGCAATAATAAGTAGCAGGAGTCGTGTCTTTCAGCGACGACTTTGTGCCAGGCATTGTGTGGGGTGCTGTATGCTCATGATCTCATGTCATTCTCGCAATAAGCACAACAGAAAAGGAGGTGGTGTTCCTATGCCCATTTTAAAGGATAAAGAAACTGAGGCTTGCCCAGTATCACACAGCTAAGAGGGTCGAAGCTGGGCTAGGAACCACCCACATCTGTCTTATTCAGATCCTGGGGTCTTAACACTGGTACTTCCTCTCTAGGATTCGTATTCTCCCCAGGCTGTCCAGGGGCAATTTGTGTTGCGAATGTTCTGTGCCACTCTGTCTGATACTGTAGCCACTGGTGGCATGGGGCCATTGAGCCCTAAAAGGTGGCATGTGCAACTGAGGGACTGCATTTTGAACTTGATTTAGTTCTAATGCTTTAGCTTTAATTTTATAGAGCCATATGTAGCTGGAAGCTCCCACGGTGGGCAGGGCACTGGAGAGCCAGGCCTCGGCTACACCCAGATGCAGTGCAGCATGATGTTGAAGAGCAGGGGCTATGGACCAATTTTCTGGGCATAGATATCCATTCTGCCACTTACTGGCAGCATGACCTTGGGCAATTTGCTTAGCCTCTTTGGGCCCTAGTTTTCATAACTTTAAAATGGGGATAACAGTGGGTTGGGGGTGTGTGCTTAGAGCAGTGCCTGGCACATAGGAAGAGCCATAGGAGTGGTTATCAGTGTCGTGACACCCAGAGATGGGAAGCTGAAAAAGCTGATACGAACAGGTGCTGTTTAATCTGATTCCCACAAAGCAGTGCAAGGCACTGTAATGGGCAGTGCTGGCTCTTTGCTGCGTCCCCTCAGGTCCCTTTAATGGCTCTGTCCCCTAACTTGCAGCCACTGCATGCTTTACTGCTACAGCTCCCACCTGTCCCTGCCACCTTCAGAGGACTGTTCTTAGGCACCATAGCCTTCCTGCCTGCTGGGAAGGCCAGTGTCCTTGGGAATCTGTCACCTCTGCTCCCAGCAGCTTGTAGCCACAAGTGGACTAGTGTGGGCACAAAATGCCCAGGTCTTTTCCCTTTAGACAAACGTGTTCCAAGTCTGAGGTGTGGTTTATGCCCCAGAGCTCCCCAGGGGATCAGGCCTGAACATGCACCCTCGTGGCTCCTTCCCTCTCTGCCCGACTTCCTCCAGCCACACTGGTTTCTCCTTCATAACACACATGATCCACATCCTTGCCCCAGTGCCTGTCTCTGGAAAAACTGGCCCAAACAGTTGTTTTTTATTTATTATGGCCAATCCTAGCTGCTACCTGGCAGACATTCCTCCACATATTTTATAGATGGAGAACTTGCATCCCACGGAAGGAAGGGATGTTTCTAACTCCACATGGCAGTAAGTCAGGGCCTACAGCCCAGAGCAGAGTATGTTTCCCTCCAAAGACCGTGTGTTGATATTCTGATGACTGTGGAGTGCTGTCCGCCCCATGGGGGTACCATGTACTATGTAGAGGGAATCCCGGTGTCTGTGGCTGGTGCACATCAGTTTACAGGTGGGGTCCAGTCTGAATGAACCTGCTATGAGCTACTTTCAATATGACCCCAGCTTATATCCCAAGCTTTTACATGGAGTAACATATAGATGTATATTTGGGAGGAAATGCAGACCCCCCCAGAAAGTCTGGGGCAGATGGTGACGAGGGCCCCTCCCTGGGCCTCCTTCCTCTCCAGACACAGCATGTGCCTCCTGCGTCTCATGGCTTTTCTGCAGTCTGTGTCCCTATCTCTGCATAAGGGCTGCTTTTAGCATCAGGCTCATTTGCACGGTCACTGAAGAGTGGTTGAGGGCGATTAGGAACCAGGCACCATGCAAGATGAAAATGACACTCCAAGAGGTCAGGGAACTTGCTCAAGGTCAAGCAGCTTGTAAGCGTAGAGCTAGGGTTTGCATGGGTGCCTTCTGAGTCTCAGCTCTGAATGCTCCCCATGCCCTCCCTCCAAAGAAGTGATGGAGAAGATGCAATGTGCAGGCTGCTGTCCACCTGGCCTTTGATGCTTAACCTAGGACTTCTCTGGGCTCTCTTGTCCCTCTAAGATGTGAATGACTAAAACATTGCCAATCGCTGAGGCAGTCCCAAGGCTGTCCATGGGTTTCTGTGGAGTCCCAGAGGCTCGTTGTCTCTGGGCTGCTCAGGTTTCTGTTTCCCTGCTCAGCACGGGGACTGAGGCATGCATCTCATTTTCCCTTTGCATTGCTCCAGGTGAGCCCACTTGAACCACACATCGGTAAGCAATGGAGGCTTGGCTGGAGATTTTGCTGGGGACACAAAGCAGCACCATTGATTGGGCAACCCAGCATTCTAGAGTGTCACTGCTCCCCCAGTTAATCTCAGTCTGTCCTCATCTTTTCCTTGTCCTTGATCTTTGTCATTTTAATTATTACATGTCTTGGTGTTGTCCTTCTTGGGTCCCTTGTGTTGGGAGATCTGTGGACTTCCATGGTCTGAGAGACTATTTCCTTTCCCAGATTGGGGAAGTTTTCAGTAATTATTTTTTCAAAGACACTTTCTATCCCTTTCTCTCTCTCTTCTTCTTCTGGTACCCTGGATTGGTCACCCAGTTCTCTTAAATATTCTTTCATAACCAGAGATCCTTGTTTCTCTCTCTGCCCCAGCTTCTCTGTATTCCTGTTCTCTGATTTCTATTCCATTCACTGTATCCTCTACCTCACCTAATCTGCTTTTAAATCCCTCCACTGTTTGTTTCATTTCAGTTATCTGCCTCCTGAATTCGTCCCTTAGCTCTTGAATATTTTTCTGTAGCTCCATTAGCATGCTTATGACTTCTATTTTGAATTCTTTTTCAGGAATATTGTTGATTTCAGTCTCACTGAGCCCTCTTTAATGGCTCAATTTTGGATTGAACAAGGTTCTTCTGCCTTTTTGTAGTCCTGGAGCGATGAGAGTGATTGCAGGTGAGTGGAACAGATGTCAGCTGGGAGGACAAAGTCCCATCCTGCTTGCTGGTCGCCATGCCTGTCTCTGCTGTCTGTGATGGTTAACTGTGCAGGGAGCAGCCTCTGGATTTAAAGCTGTCGTGGGTGGGGCAGCCTTCGGGTTGGCCTAGGGAGATGGCAGGGGTCACAGGAGAGAAGCGTGGGTTCTGCCATGAGAACAAAGCCCTTTCGTGTATCCTGGTCTCAGTGCCTGTCTCCACTGTCTCTGCCAGTCAACTGCATGCAGGGAGCAGCCTAAGGGTCTGGGCTGGTTAGCTGCATGCAGGGAGAAGCCTTTGCGTTAAGCTGTGTAGTTGCAGTAGGCGGGGCTGCCTCTGGCTGGTCTGCAGCAATGGCAGGGACAGCTGGTTTGAGCACAGGTGCCAGCGGGGAGGAAGGAGCGGGAGGCTGCTTATTGCAGTGAGGGGTCTTGGGGCTGCATTGCCACCCAGGGGTATAGGGTGCCTGAAGCTCCTGAAAGTTCCCAGCCTGCTGGGCTGAGTGTGCCAGGACGAGTTTGAACACCTGTTCCTTCTCCTAAACCCTTGCCTCTTTAGCAGCCTTCTGACTGTTGAGAAGTCTTTTAAAGCCCCTGCTTTTCTTTTGTCCCAAGGCAGCTGGTTGTGGGAATCTGTTCGCAGTCTTGGTCTCAGACTTTGCTTTTCAGCCCCTCCAATCTCCAGAGCACCATGCAATGTGGGTCTGTGCTCCCGGGGTAGATCTCCAGGGCTGGGTATTCAGCAGTCCTGGGCTTCCACTCCCTCCCGCTCTGATTCTCTTCCTCCCCCGATGAGCTGGGGTGGGGGGAGGGCTCAGATCCCACCCGGTCGTGGCTTTTTACCTCACCCTTTTCTGTGAGATGTTGACTTCTCCCAGATGTAGACTGGCTGGTGTACTCTTACTTCTGGTCATGTTTTTAGGAATAGTTGTATTTGCTGTATTTTTAAAATATATTTGGTTTTGGGAGGAGATTTCCCCCACATTTCTCACGCCACCATCTTATCTCCCTGTCCTCATCCTTCCCACTTCTCACACTTGCACAACCTCATTCTCTACTCTGTCTTTGCTCCCTTTCTGCGGAGCCTCCTCTCCTCCTTCTGAAGACGTGGCACCGGCCACCCTCAGGCTGGGGTTGCTTGGCAGAGGGGATCAGGGCTCCCTGCTGACACGCCACCCAGGCTTTCCCCCAAGTGCCGATGGCGCCTTACCTAAGTGGACACCTTGTCAATGACTCCCTACACCCGTGTCCACCCCGTCTGTTATGGCCGGGAGTGAGGGCAGTAAAGGAGGGGTCACAACACAGTGTGCTGGCACTAAGCACACAGTAGGAGTATCACCTGCTGGCCCTCCCTTGTTGGTTCCTCAATAATGAAACCCTGACCTGAGCGCCCTGACTTGACATAGCCCCTCATTCCTGCCTTTAGGACAGCAACCATCCTCTGCCCTGTCCCCTCCCTCTGAGAGAAGCTTCTCCTTCTCTGATGTGACAACAAGCCCATGTGACATTGTGCCAGCCCACTTCCCACATGGGCTCAACACAATTTTTTGCAGGTGTTTCATTTCTGGGCAGGGCTGCCACAGAGATGACAGACACTCGCAGCGGGAGTGAAGTCTCTTAAGCAGGCCGAGGGGTGGACTAGCACCCGCCCCAGGTGGGGAAGCACAGGTTGCATAGTAGACCTATCATCTGCTCTGTGATCAATCAGAACCACTGCAGCTTCCAACACGCTGATGAGAATAGCTAACATTAGAGACCATCTGGGGCAGCCTGCTATGCCTGGGTGTTTTCACAGGCTTATATGTGAATGGCAGCCCTCCAAAAAAGGGATGAATGTTCCCACTTAATACCTAAGAAAACAGGCTGAGCAGCATAACTAAATCATTCAAAGTCATGGCTCCAGAGCCAGGATTAGGACCCAAATTTGTCTCAGTTCAAAACCTGTGTGCTTTTTACCTTGCTGTGCTCCCTCTAAAGTGAAGATCTGCAAACCATAGCCTCTGGGCCAAATCTGGCCCATTGCCTGTTTTTGTAAATAAAATTTTATTGAAACACAGCTATGACCATTCATTGACATGTTGTTTATGGCTGCATTGTGCTACAGCAGCAGGGTTAAGTTTTGACAGAGACCATATAGCCTGCTAAGTCTGAAATACTTATTATTATTGGCCCTTGATAGAATAAGCTTGCAGACCCCTGCTCTACAGGGTTAAATTAACTACGAAACATGTTGAAAAAGACTGTCAAACTTGGATCTTCCTGCATCCATGAGTAATAAGAGAGTCGGGTAAACTCAAGAAAACTACTTGCTTGGAATCAAAGTAGTGGTTGTGCTTAACTGAGGTATATATGAGGAGTTTATACAGATGTCTGGAAAAGGAAGGTGGGCAGCCATTCGACCAAATCCTACATTTAAAAATAATTGAGTCTTTCTATATTGTCCAAGATTTCAGAGTTTATGCTATAGGCTGAGTCATGTCACCCCTAATTCATATATTGAATCCCTCACCCACAGTGTCACTGTATTTGGAGGTGGGGCTTTTAGGAAGTAATTAGGGTTAAAGGAGACAGGAGGGCAGGGTCCTAATTCAGTAAAATTGGTGGCCTTATAAGAAAAAGAAGAGTTTTCTCACTCTCTCTACCCACACAAAGAAGAGGTCATGTGATCACACAGCAAGATGGTGACTGTCCACGAGCCAGAAAGGAAGTCCTCACTGGATGGTGAATTAGCTGGAAGCCGGATCTTGGACTTCCAACCTCCAGACTGGGAAAATAAATTTCTGCTGTTTAAGCCACCCAATCTATGGTATTTGGCAACTCAAGCGGACCGATACAGCTTATAAACAAAGCAGGAGAGAAAGACGTGATGATGATGGCTAGGATAGCGTTAACAATAGCTCTCACTGGGTGCTTTCTCCAAGACAGAGGTACACAGGCATTTAATACAAACAACCACCTTAGCAAGAGATACTCTTGTTACCCCCATTTGACCAAAACTGAACTGGCTTTGCCCAGGGCCAAACAACTACAGAGTTGGGGACTTAAGGTTAATTCACTGCTTCAAAGAAGCCTCTAAACCATTGCTGCAATCTGTGATCCAACAAGAAGGTTATCATCACCTCATCTTTTAGATAAGGAAACTGAGGCAAAGGGAGGTCAGTTGACTTGGTCCAGGTCTCACGAGCAGTAGGTGGTAGAGGGCAGGGCTGCCCTGTATAGTTGCACATGTTTTTCACTGCTCAGTGATACCTGCTCAAGGAGGCTGAAATACGGGCAGCTGACTGCTCAGCAAGCTCAGGATGCTAGTATGAGTCTGTGTTAGCCCAGAGGAATGAAGCTTTTATGTGATTAATTAAAAGATAGGATTTTTTATCAAGCTGTCAGTTCACTGGGGTTGCATCAGCCCAGTGGAGTTTCCTTTTCTGGTTTGCACCAAGACTTGGTGTAGGATAGTGGCCCTTGCAGAACAGTATTCAAATCCCACAGTCTGATTTCAGAGCCTGCTCTTTGAGATCACAAAGTTGGTCAGTATTTTTTCCCTCCCAAAGATCCCCTTTTCTTAGTGTTCCTTCCATGACATGTTTTCCCTACTGTGTATGACAGCATGTAAAGAAAGATGATTTCAGTGGCCAGACAAATAGAGGTTTGGTTTTTTTTCCATGTAATAAGAAGTCCAGAGTTAGGTGGTTAAGACTAGATACAAAGTCATCAAGGACCTAGTGTCCATCCAGTTCCTTGCTCTGCTCATTAGGGTGTAGCTTCTAGCCTCAGGGTCACAAAGTGGCTGCTGCACATCCAGCCTTTGTATCCAAACTTCCAGGTGGGAAGCACTGGGAAAATGCAAAGAATGAAAGGAGTGAGCCAGTAAAATATCAGTCTCTTTTTATCATGGAAATTGTACCCTTTCTCAGAGGCTGTACCCTTAAATCTCATTGGCTAGAACTGGGCCCCATGGCCACACGTAGCTGCAGGGGAGTTTGGGAGATGAATATTTTTAATCAGGCACATTACACTGGACAAAATTGGGATTCTCTTCTTAAGGAAAAAGGGGATAATAGATCCCATGGGCTCTTAGCAATGTCAGTCATACCCACCAAGAAAATTGCATATATAATATTTAACATGTTTCTCCACTTTCATGTGCCAAATGCACAACTTTTAAGAAGAGCACTTGTGAATGTTGACAAGTAATATTGAAATCCGTGTGTGTCCCTCACACAGGGTTGGACGCTGCTCTACTCCCCCCTAGCAACCTCCATGCTCACATACTTCAGTTTCTGCTTGGGTTCAGGGCTGACTTTTCTCCCATATCCCTGACACCTGTTCTTGTCCCGTTACCATCTGTTTCCTGCCTTTTAGGCTTTGCCACTTGCCCTTGGGCTTTAGAGCGCCTGACTTGTGCACATTCCTGACTGTGAGGCTTCTAATGACCTGAACCTGACCTGGTGACTACCCGCTGCCCGCTAGTCACTGTACGCATGGCATTGGCAGCCCTGAAGGCCCGACTCAGGGCCAAGAGCCCTGGCTCATTCCTTAGCCTGCTAATTTGACCTCTGCTGGTGGAGGAAAAGAAGAGTTCTCACAGCAGCTGCCCAAAGCAGTCTCCTGGGAGTGTCGGCTCACCTGGGCAGCCCCCTCATGGCGAAATGCATGGTTTTCATTAGGCCTTTGGAGAGACCGGAAAATAACTCTTAAGTCTTTATATTACTTTCTAGTCCGATGCTTTCCAGGAGAACTTTCTGTGGCCGTGGAAATGTTCTATATCTACACTATTCAACTCAGTAGCCACTAGCAGCAGGAGGTGATTGAATGCTTGGAATGTGGCTAGTGTAATGTGGAAATTCATTTAATTTAATTTAAATTAATTTGAATTTAAAATTCAATAGCTGCATGAGGGTAGTTGGCTCTAGGGACTCAGGCACACAGGTGGATCACTGAGGTAGCTGGCTGTCTTGCCAATGGGTTTCAGCCCTGGGCAAGTTTGCTATGGAATTCAATGTGACCAAAGAAAATAACAGCAAAACGTTCTTGGGGTGAAAGGGTTACACCGAACTTTATTTCCAGGTGGCAGGTCAGTCACTAGAATCCCATTCACTCAGAGCGAGTCTGCCGTCAGCAAGCCGGTCTCTGCCTCTGGACCTCTCTTTCTGCACAGTCATCCCGCACAGCCGTCCTCTGGGCCTCTGTCCTTGGTGCTGCCACCACTCCAGCCTCTGCTCTGCTCACCTGCAGCCTTGCAGCCTTGCCACCCTGTTGCACCCAGAGCACTGGGTGGCGTTCTTTTTATAGAGTCAACAGCCATGTATTGCCCACAGGTGTGCAGTGAGCTAGTCAACCAGGGCCAGGTGAGAATCCTGGCCACCGGAACTCTCATTTTATCCACACTAACAAAAACCAAAACCACGTATGAAATAATTAAATGATAATTAGGCCCAAGGGGGCCCATTGCTTGTAAGGAAGGCCATATTGGTGAGCATTTGTTGCAGAAATACTCTGTGCCAGAGGATTACACACATGATCCCATTTGATCCTCCCAGCGGCTGTGCAACAGCTGCTCCATTTAACAGATGAGAGAATTCCACCTTGGGGAGGTTAGGCAACTTGTCCAGCTAGGTAGTGCCATCTAGATTTGGTCAGGGCTGTCTGACCTTGATGTCCACGAATGCTTTTCACATTGTTCAGGTGTCCTTTCATAGGGTTTTCGACAATTCACTCCATCTTTACTTGGGACGTTCAACAGCCCAGTCCCTGCCCTCCTCTCTTCTGGGGGACAGTAACACAGAGCATTTTTCTGAACAGGTAACGCTTTGCTGTTTTCAAGTCCAAATAGTAGAACTGTCATTGCCACAGAAGTTTGCTTCAGTGTACACACACATACTCACACTCATCACACAGACATGCACATGCACACAGATGGACACACACACTTGGATATGCACAGACACAGCTTCACTTTTCCCCTTCAGCTGCCTATTAGAGGACTTACATCCAGCCTTATTCCTAGTCCAGTGAGAGGACTCCTGTAATAAGGAGAAAGATTCAACACCCAGAACCAAAGATAGAGAGCAGGGGCCAGTGGTTTGTAAGAGGCACAGATCTCCGAAATATTGCTCTTTCTCCAGGTTCCTCCCGGGTTACTGGAAGTTTCCAAATGTGAAAGTGACTAAGGCCAGAAAACAACCAATCCCAAACTTCCACTGACTTATAACATGGCCTAATGCCCATTTGAGAAGTGCCTTCTGCCCCTGCATGTCAGTGATTAGAAGGACACTCTCAGGATCTGCCCAGAATACCAATGGTTGATGGGTGGCAGCTCCCAAGTCTGTGGGATCCATAAATGGACCCTGAAAAAAAACCTTTATAAAGAAGTCACATGGTTGGTGGAATCCAAGGTCTGGGTGTTCCCTGAGCAACAGAGGCCATACCTCTGATCTGCTCCCTCAGCTGGCCCAGGAGGCGGACAACAGTTGGGCACAAATGGGTGATAAAAATGTAATTGGGAGTTCAGGATGCACGGCCAATTGCCACGATGCCAGCTTGCGTGCCTGGGCTCTTGCTGTGACTGTATCTGGCAAATTCAGTGCATTTTCTTTTCTTTGACAGAATTTCCAGGATCATGAGTCTTGCTTTCTGCAACCCCAAATGATGAGAAAGTTAACCCAAACTGTCTTTGAGTTAACACAAAGGTAATGTTAGTTGCTATTATTCTGTACACTCCAAAACTCAGTGACTTACACAATAGAAATGTATTTCACCCTTATGTGAAGACTAATCACAGATAGAGTGAAGAAGGAAATGAGCTCTGCTCCACACCGTTACCCAGGGCCCCAGGCTGATGGTGGCTCTGCCATCTTCACAGGTGGCTTCCAAGTTTGCTCTGGGCATTGAGGTCCAGCCATCAGAGAGGAACAGAGAGAATGCAGTTCTGCCTGGGGATTTTTTGCAGGCCAAGTGTGCATGTGGCTTACATCACTTCTGCCTACAGCCCATTGGCAGTACTCAGCTCTATGGCCCCAACTAACAGCAGAGGAGGCTGGGAAAACTAGCCTAGCTGTAGTCTTATGGTGAAAGGAAACAGGTTTGGTGGACAGCTAGTCAGTCTTTGCTATAGACTTTAATCCCTCAGCTGTCAGAGAAGAGTAAGAAAAGAATCCTGTGCTTTTATAAAGAATCCACTTTTTAAAAAAATGGTCAGAGCATTGCTTTTGAGACTTCATAAGATGTAAGTAAACTAGTAGTACCATGAAAGATCTGATTATTTTTTTGGGCACTGTGTATGCCAACTCTCTGTATGCTCATCCAATGAATGAGCTGAAATGAGCCAAAAGGTGGTATCATCAGTCAAGGAGTAAAGAATGTGACCTCCAAGGGTCTCAATGGCCCGGCCATTGACATTTCCCCAGTCGTACCTCCTGACATCTTCCCTCTCCCATGCAGGGTTCCAGCCATCCTGGGCTCGTGGATCCCTGGCTGCTCTGTGTCATTCCTGCCTAAGTACTTTCCATCCCGCAGGAGTCACCAGACACCCTGATGCCCCCACTCACCTCGGCCAAGGAGGCAGGCAACATTTCAGCTTCTTCAAGTCACCTTTTCCCCAGGACACCATGCCTGATGGGGTGGATTTGGTTCTACTAGTAGGAAATGCTGCCTGTGAGTTAAGCTAAGATTTTATCTTTTATATGGTGGATAAAATACTATTTACACTCACGGCCCACCTAATGCACATGCCTTGTAATAATTTTAATATGGAAATTAAAGAGCAAAAGTTGGCCAGCTCTGTGCTTTTATTAACCACAATTTCTAGGCATTATTACTTTTTTCTTTGTTTCCATTTCCTTTCAGTGAGAAATCTGTTTAGTACATTCATTCGCTTGGGATAATAATAGGGTTTGTTTATGTGTGAGTGTGAATATGTGCCACTTAAAAAATTGTGGCTGTGCCAGGTTGGCACTTATAGAAGTTTAAGATAAATAATGGTGGTTTTTTTTGGTTAAATTCCCCTCATACACTGGCATGTTATCATTCTCGGCCACATTCCCTGCGGCTGCTATTTTTCTATAAAGTTACCCAGTGGTGTTTTTGGCCAGAACTCTTTTAGTGGAGGTGGAGCAAATGAGAAGTTTAACCAAATCAAACAAACATTTATTGAACAGCCATGTTTTCTTCTGTTAAACCCTTATGCCCTATGGGAGGGCATGATTTTTTGCCCTTGTCCGCCTTCTGTGCTGTCTCTTGCCATCCTCTGGAGCCCCAGTTCTTATGCGAAGTTGTGGAACATCAGCTATTTCTTTGTGGCACTAATGTGAACTCAGAGTTGTGTTTTTTTCCTCTATTTCCACCCAGATCACTAAAAGTAAAGATGCCAGCTTACCCAGGATTAATCTCAAAGGAGACTTTGGACTGTGATAATGGCTGGTCGGTCCCACCTTCTCTCAGAGGACAAGAAAGCGGTCTTGAAGGTGGAGGGCTGTCATCCTACCCTACCCACCTCAAGAGGGAAAGGGCTGGGGGGCCACGTGTCTCCTGGTGGAGAGAGGGGCCCATGAACTGGGAGGCCGAGAGGGAGGTCAGCACGCAGGGACGGCCCACGTTCCCGTCGCATGTGTGGGAGGGGCGCTGCCGTGGGCTGCGTTACAGTTCCCAGCATTTCATCCCCCCGACTTCACGTCCTTTGCCCAGCGACACTGCTGTCCTTCCATGAGAGGCGGAACATGGTGCCCTTCTCCGTCAGTGTTGGCCCGGGTGTGCTGGGCTGGCATTAGCCAGTGGAATGTGAGTGGAAGCAACAGTGGCCCGGTTCTGAGCTGGGAGCTGGAGGGGCGCTGTGTGTTTCTGTTGCTCTGTTTGTGCTCTGCCCTCCCTGTGAGAATAGTGCCCTGGGTAGCCTGCTTTCCCAGAAAACGTGAGAGACGTGGGAGCAAAACCCTGCAGGCCACCCCATAGACCTGAAACCTGAAACCTGAAACCTGAAACAGAGCCTTCCAGCCGGCGCACAGCCCTGCGAGCATGATAATAAATGCTTATGGTTGGCAGCTGCTGAGGTTGGGCTTGTTTGTCATGAAGCATTGGTGTGGCGAGAGATAACAGACACAGTGTGTAAAGGTTGGAGAGAGGCATGGAATCAGGCGGGGCCCAGGCCCAGGACAGGTCTGATGGAGTGAAGGGCTGGTATCCTGAGAAAAGAAAGGCACTGTGCTGATATGATCACCATGGCAGGGGGCTGCCCTGAGCCCCTGCTGGGGGCCCAGACACATGGGATTTGCTGTGGAATAGATGCAGCAGCCGCATGTACGTGGGTGGAGACCTCACCCCTGCTGTGGCAGAGGGGGCAGCACGGAGACCCCTCAGGGCTGGGGGCACAGTGCGTATCAGGCGAGAGGTTTTGAACTGGATAGTCCCCTATTGAACAAATAATTACTGAACACCTGCATGAGCCTGGGAGGGTTTAAGGGGCCGTGCATACAGCGGTCAGCAAATCTGTCTTTGTCCCTGTCCTCTGAAAGCTTACATTCTAATTACTGATAATAATGATCATAATAGGATCTGTATTAGGTTGAACATTTCCCTGAGATAAGAATGTCTTAAAACGGAAGTGACTGGAGAAATAACTACATGGGCTATATGGACTGAGTTGGGCTAAACTTAATTTTCTTAACTGTCAAGTAGGAATAGAGGCTTGTTAAAGTATCGGTGGTATAAAGCCGCAGCGAGCTTTCGTGCTCACATACGTACTGTGACTGTGCAGCTTTCCCCATGACACAGGCAAACGCACGGTCCTACTGTCCTGCCTGTTCTCTGCCTCCTGTCCTTCACTGGGGGCCACCTTTCCCCTGCAGATGCCACTTCCCCTGCCACCCCGCGGGGAGCTGCCCAGTAGTACCTAAGTGCCACAGGACATTCTCTGGGCCCCGGGCGGGCCATCGCTACTCCCCGTTTTCTGAGACTCACATCTGTCCTGCTTTACCACCTTCCATCTTTCTCACCCCCCTTGTTTGTTTCCTGCCTTCTTGAAGGTCCTGGCTGTGGGCTTCCTGGTCACATCAGCTGACCGTTCCTTGAAGGACCTTGGCGCTGTGAGGATGGCACTTCTGGGATCTTCCTCTTATATTTTATCAGCCTTCTCAAATTCAGCGCTGCTCACCTCTGTCAAGTCTAGCTACTCACTCCATTACCAAGCCTTGTGGGAGGCTTTCCTCTCCTCACCGCCTCCCTACCACCTCCGTGCCTCCCTCCTCTCCTTCTCTCCCTAGGGCAGTCTCTCCTCCCCCTTGCTTGCCCTCCCTCCCACCCTTCCCTCTTTCCTGCCGTATCTAGTGGGTACCATTTGACGGCGGACCCTTCCCTGCACCTTCGCAAACAATAGTGATAAAACACAGGGAGGGCATATCCTCAAGGGACCCGGCTCTGACTAGTTTTTCTTCTTTCTGTCCCCGCCAAGACAGCCACTCCCTGGCCACATTCTGAGGCTTCCCTCAGCCCCTGGAGCACGACAGGGCATTGGTCCAAGCATTCCTGCCTGCTTCTTACCAGAATCCCGCAAAGCACATACCATGCAGATTATTACCGGGAATAGCTGACTCTTGCATAGCGGTTCAGACATGCCAGTGCTGCCCAAGGGCTTTGCATGTGCTCACATGATGTCCTCTCAAAACCCTCCCAAGTCGACAGGAGTGCTACCCTCCCTTTATGGGGGGCTGACTGAAGGAGGCAGAACCTTTGTGAACCGGAGGCCTCCCAGCACCAGGGGTCCAGAGGAGGTTGCTGGGGGGCAGATGGCTGGGTGTGGTCTGGGGGATGTATCCCGGGAAGGCAGGATGGGGAGACGCCAAGAAGGGATGGTGGAGGGGACTCGGGGTGGCTTGAGCCATAAGCAAATGACTCCAGGAGAAAAGGGGATCAGCACAGGTGGGCAGGAGGGGGCCAGGGCTAGGGAGGACCCTGAGCACCCTCCATCCCCATGCTAAGCAGTAAGGCCACAGTTGAATCATTCTGATGAGGAAGGCAGTTTTATCTTTCTCAGGAAGCTTGAAACACTTCAAAACCACCTGGCATGAAGGGCCTTTGAGGCTCATCCTATTTGAATTAGAAAAATGCCTGGGGTCTCCGGCCTGTGAAATCCCCAGAGTGCCTTGCTTCTGCTCCCCAGCTGCTGTCCTCCTGTCTGTCATGGGCACTACAGTCGTGAAGCAAGACTTGGCATCTATCCAGAGAATTCTCTTCCACTTTTGTCTTTCCTTCCAAGGAGCTGACAGCCATTAATAGAGCTAATGGTGGTAAATCAGAAGGTTGCAGGCTCCTTTTTATTTTTATTTGAATCATAAAATTATGGCTTTTACCAAGGTTGAGGATAATAAAAAATAATGCCAAAGAATTTGTAAATTGGAGAGCAGATCAGTTTAAATCTCCTTATTATATTCAGCTAAGAAAAATGGAGGCCTAGTGTCAGGTCCCTCTGTCTTCTGGGAATCAGGGCTGTGCATTTTTCTCTCCAGCATTTTCCACCCTGTGGGGAGTGTAGGTTCCCTTTAACCCATGGATAAAGTGAAGGTTCCTGTGGCCAGGATTCTCACCTGGCCCTGGTCGGCTAGCTCAGTACACACATGTGGGCAATACGTTGTTATTGAGTCTATATAAAGAGCTCTGCCCGGTGCTCTGGGTGGCACAGCCGCAAGGCTGCAGGAGAGCAGAGAGGCCGGGAGGCAGAGCCTGGCTTGCTGCACGCAGACTCGCTCTGAGTGGGCGGGATTCTAGGGATTGACCTGCCACCGTGGGAATAAAGTGAGTATAATCCCTTTCACTCCAAGAACATTCCACTGTCATTTTTTGGTCTCATTGAATCCATAGTGAACTTGCCCAGGGATGAAACCCATTGGCAAGACAATTGGAGACTTTGGCAGGATTCACTGTCAACCAAGGAACAGAACAGGCTGCCCTCACGGGAGGAGTGTTGCAGCGGGCTGCCCCTGTGGACGGGGAGACATCCGAGTGTCCCCTAGTGGACATGGGGTCCAAGGGGCTTGCCTCCTAGAGGACTGGGCCCCACCCCAGGACTGGGAAGGGGTGGAGGCGACATCTGAGGCAGTAAGTTGGCCCTCAGCAAAATAGGGAATTCCTCAGAGACACCGAGTGGCCGTGAGGCTGCAGAAACGGTGGGGAGCTGTTTCCTCACAATACTGAGAAAGGCCAGAAGGGAGAAAGACGTCCTGCAGGAAGCATAAGAGGCGGGATGAGAACGTGGGCTGTGAGGTGCCGTTGAGGAGGTAAAAAATTTATTGGTGACTGACATGGCATCACCACGAGGTGCTGTGGAAATGGTAAAGGATGTTGTGGTGGCCAGTATGAGGAGAAGCAGCCGAGAGCGCAGGCTGCCGGTGCCGTGGGGCAGGTGGAAGGGTAGTGGAGCCGTCAGCCCCAGAAATAGAGGAGCTGAGGTCTGACAAACAGGTGGGTGTGGAGGCCCTGCCTCTGCTGGCGGCATCAGCCCCTCCTCGGTTGAAACCCCACCCGGATGAAAGTTGGTGGAAAGCCAGAAAGAAAATAAAGACTCGGCAACTGCGGGTTCCTCCAGGAGAGGTGCACCCCCTCCCTAGGTCGGGGAGCGCTCCGTGCTCTGCTCCTATCCTCAGGCTCAAGCAATGAGAGATGGACCGAAATACGGTCTGCTACTCGAAGGAAGAATTTAAAGGGCCCCATGAAGGTCACGAGGACCCAGATGTGGGTCGATATTATAAAGGCAGGAGCAGACAGAAAGGACCTGGATGGAAAGTCAAATAGAATGTTATGGGAGCTGTGGCAACAACTGAGACTGGAGCAGGGGTTCCTGCCGCTGAGGACGAAGCAGAAGCCAGAGATAAAGCAAGATCGGCCTGTGTGTCTGCAAGACTTTCTGCAGGAGAGAAGGTGGGTATCGTAAGGCCCATGGTCCTTTTGGTTAACTGATTTGAGTAGAACTGGTTTGAGTAGTACAGCCAGGATGACTACTTGGTGGCAATGGATCTCCTTAAGCTTGAGGGTTTTTATAATTTGTCATAATTTTTATTTGTATATTGTCGTAGCCTGTGTTGTTATTATGGAATCTGGTTATAATGTTCCAGCTTCCTTGCACAGGGCCCACTGCAGAAGATTGAGGGCACATAGATGGAGAAGTGAGAATCCTGGAGGGGTAGAGTGTGGATAATGTAAAGGTTCCCATGGCCAGGATTCTCAACACACATGTATGGGCAATATGTTGCTATTGACTCTATATAAAGAGCTCTGCCCAGTGCTCTGAGTGACATGGTGGCACGGTTGCTGCACGGCTGCAGGAGAGCAGAGGCTGGAGTGGGGGCAATTCTGAGGACAGAGACTGAGATGGCTGCCCTGAGAGGCCCAGAGGCAGAGACAGATTGTTGCATGCAGACTTGCTGAGTGGACAGGATTCTAGGGATTGACCTGCCACCATGGGCACAAAGTTGGTTATAAACCCTTTCACCCTAAGAACATTCCGTTGTCATTTTTTTGGTCTCATTGAATCCATAGTGAACTTGCCTGGGGATGAAACCCATTGACAAGTCATACTGGTGTGATTGCTGTGTTGTGCTTTGTGTTACCGAACCACCTGAAGTCTGCTCGCCTGACTAGATTCTGAGTTTGATGAAGGCAGATGTCAGCTCCGCTTATCACTGCAACTTTCCACTGTCTGGTAGAGAGCTTGGTCAGTACAACTTGCTAAATGTGAAGAGTGGATGAAGGGTAGAGCCAAATGAAACCCACAGCTGGTGCAGCTGGCGAGGTTCCTGCTCACTTTACGTTTCTCTTTTTTCTGGATTTCTGTGCTGGGTGTGGGGCAGGATGAGTAGGGCCTTCTGGAAGGAGCCTGTTTATTTGTGCTTGGGTAGCTCAGAAATCATAATGTGGGGATCTTGGCAGATCAGCTCCGCAAGTGGGAGGAGGGAACTGGGACCAGGAAGGGTGGGAGCTGGGGAAGCTG